TGCCACACCTTCATAAGTCCTTCCATCTATACCTAGTGTTATTCTTTTTACACCCCTCTTAGTATTTGCCATTGACATTTACCAGAGCAGTACTGGGCTTAGGAGAAGAGTAGGGAAGTCTAACCATTATCCTTTCACTAGTCATTCTTGAAGAAGAGCCTAACATTCCCAGCACATGCCTTCATGCCAGAGAATCCATTCTTTAGTGGTTAATGTAATTATAATAGTCCTTCTCAATGTTTTAGGTGAGTTGGAGGCCTCTAGAAGAGGGGAAGGAACAATCCTTGGTTTGGCAATTCGATACTATTCACTGTAAAATTAATTCCCTGGATAAACTGGCAACAGGCTAAACAGGTTCACCTGGAGCTTTGGCCCTACCATACAATGCACTTCATAATCTCAGGGCAGTCTACCAATGCACAGGTTCCCAGGCCCTGGGAGGGCATAGGAGCAGGGCAGGCACTGTGTGCAGAGCTGGATTTCACAGCCACCAGGAGTCTGAAACATAGACACTATTCACATGGCAAGGACCCTCCACAGAGCTTCAGGGCTAGGGCCAAGATGGCTCACTCCCACCTGCCCCCCCCATTCCCCTGCACAGCCTCAAAGTGTCCCCACTTAACCTTAGTGTTAAGTCTCTTGAAATGACAACAGGTAGAAAACACTGGCTGTACATAAGGCCAATTTCCAGAACCTTATAGCTAGCGTAGAACATTTCTTCCTTCCCATGGTCTGATCTATCCCACTCTCTGAACAGCAGACTGACAGATCAGAAGAAAGACAACCAGCAAAGTTCTTAGGACTCTAAGGATGCTCAGTAATTGTCTATTGGGATTCAGAGATGGGGCCAGGAAGGAAGGGCATCCCAGAAATGAACAGCATGAGTGAAGATGTGAGAAACCAGGAGGCATGTACTGTAGTTATTCCCAACATAGCCCACTTAGACTGAGCTCCTGACACTGGTTCCATCTGGTTTATCTTTGCATCTCACAGATAGCTAGCTCCACATATTCATTGTTCAGAATGGGTATGGAATGAATGGCTAATAGCTCAATCATTGAGCTGACAGCCAAAGTGTCTAGTGCTTCCTAACTTCCCTGATTCTTCATAGGAAACTAAAATAACTGAATGAGATAGGTGGTTACTCTTGCGGCTCCCACTTAACTTCCATGCTCCCTATGTACTCCCATCCCTGTTGACTCGGGCCTAGCCACACACGTGATTTTGACAGATGGGGCATCAGCAAGTTAAGGCTTCAGAGACATAGCACATTAGGGGCTTAACTACTTTGCTGAGAGAAGACATGGAAAAAAACATTCAAGGCAGTCATGAGAGAAGAGAGAGACCTTGATACTACAGGGGGAAAAGGAAAGGCCAACCATGCAAGCATCCCAGCGAAGCTTCAGCCACAATACAGAGTGAGGAGAAACAACAAAATGTTAGATGTATATGAACCACTGGTTTTGGAGTCTATTGCCCAACAATAGAAGATTGAGATGGAACTGTCAGGATAAAACAATAGTGTGGTATGGAAGGGTCTTGAAAATGAGCAAGGCCTATTTGTAACTTATGGTGTAGGTTCAGGTCAGCCTTTATGGGGATTTGCAGCTCTGCGTCGACTCAAGAATCGGCCCCTGGCAAATGCAGAGCATCGCAGAAAACCACAGCCGGATGAAATGCGGAGATAAATGAATGGTGGGGAGCATGGTCTCTAAATCACAGCTCTCACATGTATATGTCAGGGAGCATTTCAGAAGAGGGAGGCTAAGGTTTGTAAGAGAAAGAATGGGAGGAAGTCTGCTGAGGCAGTGTGTCTTGTAATTCAAATTCTGGAACACTAGCATGTAAACTTGAAGTAGAGAGGCAGAGCTGGCGAGAAGAGAGACTCACTATGGTGTAAGGCAGTGGTTCTCAACCTTCCTAATGCGGCCACCCTTTCAGACAGTTCCTCATGGTGGTGACCTCTCCCCAACTAACTATAAACTTTCTTTGTTGCTACTTCGTAACTGTAATTTTGCTATTGTTGTGAATTGTAATGGAAATATTTTTGGAGCTAGAGAGTTGCTAAAGGGGTGGTGACCCAAAGGCTGAGAACTACTAGTCTAAGGGTATGGAGCTCCAGGGCACCTATATCCGGAGATGACCAGGCCCAATGAAAATAAATTATATGAACCAACTCCTCAAGAAGCTTAATGATGGATCAATCACCATGCTGATTTACTCATCTGCAATGAGAAATATTTCAAAAACCACAGTGTTAGGCACTCTCAGGTGGAAAGGGAAAGGATTTCTCAGGGCAAACAGATTCCTCAGATCAGTATGGGTTTCATATGTGGAAACATGGGGAAGTGAAGAAGGGCAGAGATAACCCTGAACAGGGAAGAACCAAGGAATGCCAATGCCTGGCGGCAAAGGGGGGGTCCTTTCTTGCGCTTGGAATCTTCATTTGTTTGTAGTCAGAATGCTTGCACCTCTCCTGGTCTGTTGGCCCACAGGGTTGTAGAGGGAAAGTAAGTTGGAGAGATACTTCTCTCTCTGAAAAGATTATGGGAAGGGAAACCCTGTGTGTGTGTGTGTGTGTGTGTGTGTGTGTCTGTGTGTGTGTGTCTGTGTCTGTGTGTGTGTGTGTGTGTGTGTGTGTGTGTGTCTGTGTGTGT